TTGTAATTTTGTAATTTTAATTGATTTTAATTGTTTTGTAAACTGCCCAGAGTCATTTAACGAGATGGGCAATGACAAATTTGATAAATAAATACATAATAAATAAATAAAGCTTGATGTATTTTAATAGCACAATCTATGTTGCTCTGGGACCACAAACATGGGTTTGGGGGCCACAAGTTGCCTATTCCTGTTTAAGTGTAATTGTATGTTAACTATGTTAGCCATCAGGGCTTGTGCATTTTTGTCAGGATTCATCTTGTATTTTGAGGTATCTTTAATGCTGCCTTTTTTCCTATAACTTATTGCTGTCAAATCCTTTATTAAACTTTGACCTTCTGATATATTCTTTTGAAAATGCCTTCCCATGGATGACAGATGTGGATGAATGTAAAGAATTTGGGGCTGCTGCTTGTGGCATATGGCAATGCCAGAACACCTTGGGTTCATTCCACTGCATTATGGGATGTCCTCCTGGCTTCCATCGCACACCATTTGGTGAATGCATTGGTAGGTTCTTTTGGGAGAACTCTGGGGTGTGTAAAGGTCAAGGGAGAACCTCTGTAGGGCAGAATTCCATCTTGGAAAGAAGGAGAAACGTTTTTACAGTATAGAGACAAAAACATTACCTGACTGTAGTTTCAGTTGTGCTGGGATTGTCTCTTTTTTGAATGGATTAACAAAATGTATGTTGTTTTGCTCTTTCTCTTAGGAATTTTATTAAAGAGGTGTATCTCCTGTGGATGACATAGGCATGAAAGTACCCAGAATAGAAAGCAGCTTGATGGGAATTGACCCATAATTTTTTCTCTTTCCTATTTATTACTACTGATTCATATGGCAATGGACAGTGTAAATACTTCCATTTCTGATGTTATTCTCAACTCCATACATGCAGTTTATTTATGGTCAAAGACTAAAATACCAGTACAACACAATCAAATAAAACCAAAATGGGAAATTAGCACAAGAAAAAAGCCAAACAGTTAATAAAGTGGGAAATGCTACTTCTGAAGAGCAGTAAATTAATTGGTAGATGTTTTCAGTGTTAAACTTATGGCAATCACAATCAGTCAAAATCTGTAACCTTCCTTGATATTTCTGTAGACCAATATAAAAGGTAGTTCAGCAAAACTTGAGATATTGTCTCGATTGCCCTGCCCAACCAAGGCACAAAGAAACTCAGAATGGAATATTAATAAACCTCTCCTCTAAAACCATGGATGACAAAACTTTAGGTCTGGACAATGAGAATGTTCATTTATGTGAGACAAAGAACGTTGGTGAAATAATTAAGTAAAGTGAAAGGTGTATTACAGAGTCCATTATAATAATTAAGACTTTACTGTAAGTCCAAATTCTAAAGTGGCTCTCTCAAGACCTGGTGTCATCAAGAAAAGGGAGAGAGATTGCAATAATTTAGATCCAAGACTATGCATTTCTTCCAAGGAGAAATACATTTATGAACAATAACTGTGCTAAGGTTCCTTCTGTAAATATTGGCTATGAATAACCAATATTTAATAAGCAGAATCTCAAATAAACCTCTGTAGAGGGAGGGCAAGATTACAGAACGAGAAGAGTAATTGATGCACATTGAGAGACATGTAACACTGCTGTTAAGAATTTGGATTGGGTTACTTCCCTTATATTATAGCATACACAGAGCCCAAAGCTCAGCACCTTAGCTCTAAATACTTTTTCTTTCAGTTCCTTAATTCTCCATATTTTATCTTTCTCTCTGCATTGTCCACTCTCTGATGATACTGAAGTCATGTGTATCTAAAATGAGTTCATGACATTCTTCCTTATTCTTGCACAGACTTTTGATATGAGCCAAAGATGTCAATATGAGTCCTCTTGCTAGCATGTGTCTGAAATGAATAAGCAAAATAGGGTTTGCCTTGCTTAAAAAGGACTGTGTACTGATTTGCTGATTTATCTGTCATGCAGATATTGATGAATGTGCCAATGAGACCCTGTGTGGAAACCATGCTTTCTGTGACAACACTGTTGGGTCATTCCATTGCCTGTGTGATCGTGGCTATAAAAACTCACCTTCAAGCCATGACTGCATTGGTAAGAGTCATTCAGCATTCATAGATCCACATTGCCTCCTTGTCCAGGATTCTGGCACCTTTCCAACATATCTATCAAAGTCATGTTGAGGAAGATCCCTTAAAGTTTGACATTTTTTTTGTTTGGTTAATTGTATTTGAAATCCCAACTTCTCTGTTCTCAAGTTCTTTATGGATGAACCCTTGTACTACAGTGCCAGGATGAATCTTCAAATCTAGCTCTTTTTGTAAAGAAATACTAAATGTGATTGTAGCATAATCCATGCATTAAAATGCATGTTGTAGAGAATTTGTATAAAAGCAGGGCTGGAGTGGCAGTTTCTTGGGGAAAAAATGTAATTCAGAGGAGTGCTGAAACCTAGAGCTGGAAGAACCTTGAAGATCATCACATCTAAACCTGTGTTGATGCACGAAATCAACAAGGACAACTTTGTTAGAAAGTCATATATCTTTTACTTAAAGATTTCTGTCAAAGAAGTGTCTACCACTTTCTGAAGCATTCTCAGATATCTCAGGAAGATAGCTCTTCCTAATGTTTATTTTAAGTCCCCTTTTTAACATTTTGAACTCATTGGTTTAGGTTCTATTTCTGTAGCCACAGAAAATAAAATTGGGCCATCATTTATTGACAGTTTTTAAAGATTTGCCTGTCCTATCACCTCTTCCTGTTCATGGATCTAAGCCCTGAGCTATTTGCTTTCAGCTACTTTATTCCTAGGGGTCATATTTCTGTATTAAGAGCTTAGCCAGCAGAATGAGTGGCTGCAACCCATGAACTACAGGAGGGGTATGTGTTGCTGTCATAGCTCTAAGTTTTAAGAATTAGACATTATGAAAAGTCAGAAATGTGTTTAAGAACAAATAAAATGGAGGAGTTAACGCCTTAGGTGAAAAACAGGGATGATGAGTCCAAAAAGCATAGGAGGGATGCATTTAGCAGGCATATTGAGAAACTGTATTATAATTCTTCCAGATGTAAATGAATGTGAGCTGATGGTTGCAGTGTGTGGGACTGCACTTTGTGAAAATGTAGAAGGAGCCTTCCTGTGCCTGTGTCCAAGTGATCATGAGGAGTATGACACAGAAGCTGGGGAATGCCGCCCCCGGTCAGGCATAGGTAAGGATTTAACAGGCAACTGGAGGTACAATTCTAGTAACAGAATCCAAGTTCTTCTTATTGGTCTGGGTAAAATAAAGCATTGCCTAAAATTCTTAACATTTTAAGACATCTGAGAGTGTTTAATCTCATTGAGCCCATAAGCTGAATTTCTTATCTACATAACCACTCTATTATATATATAGTCCCATGGGGATATTTAACCAATCACCTTCTGGTCCAGAGAGAATAAAAATAGCTAGGAGCATATTAAATCCCATTTGTGAAGGCAAGATTTGAAAACAGTTAACATACGAATGGACAGTGACTTGAAGGTTGCATTCAAGTAGTTTTTCTTTATGCTTCAAAAGTAGTCCTCAACCAAATGGTCTCACTGTGAGATTCTCATAATCTCTGATCTGGCATCAGTAATATGATGTCCATCCCCATATAATATATTGGAGGAGTAGAGTTAATTTTACTGCAGAATGGGCTTTAGTAACAATGAGGTTTGCAACTCTTTTTTTTTTTTTAACGGGTTCTGATGAGAGCCTTCTAGCACACATGGCCATCAAAGACAATTTTAAAGTAATACAAAACATTTGAAATGTGGGTTGTGGGGATGGGTGAGAGGCTAACCTTTCCACCTTAAGCAATCATTTGTAATTTGGAGGGAAATTCCTATTTCCAGATACAAAATATAATGCGGGCAATGCTGAATTGTGTTATATTTGTGTTTGGAAAGACAACTTTCCAAAGAAGCTATTTGGAGTTTGTGAAATATATGTTATATTGCTAAAATTAATTGTGCAATAAAATCCTCAGGATGCTTTGCTCTGATAGATTGCTTTCATCCTAGAATTTCCAGAGATCTGGTTATTTCTCCAGCAGAATGTTATCTGTGTGACTCTGTTACATACAGTTACATGTTTTAATCTCATCTCAGGGGAACCTGGAAGGCCTGCGTCTTTACATCCAGGTAGTGCAGAGCGGAAGGAGTGCTATTATCACATCAGTGATGTCCCATTGTGTGACAGTGTCTTGGCCAATAACACCACAAAAGAGGAATGTTGCTGCACTGAAGGAGCAGCCTGGGGAGATAATTGTGAAACATATCTGTGCCCAGTCATTGGCTCAGGTATATTGCATTATTTTTTAAGTAATAAGCATGTGAACAAAAAAAAAAAAGGGAAGGGAAGGGAAGGGAAGGGAAGGGAAGGGAAG